ATATTGGTTGAAAATTGCGAATACAGAATATTGAACATTAAAACACTGCTTAAATGAGATATCTGAAAGATGTTTTATTTAAAAGAACAAACCTGGTTTAAAAAGATTAGAGATTATTTGTTTCAATGTGGATTAAGTTGTGTTTGGGAAAGCCAAAGTGTAGTCAGTACAGATATTTTTCTATAACAATTAAAAGAAAGAATTTTTGGTGCATCCATTAGTGACGTAACAGCGTATTGTTTTAGATATATGTATAGTATACATGCTTTGAAATTTTTTTTTATATAAAACCTGTAAACTATATTAACAAACAATACATTTGTAAATATCGTACATCAGTTTATAATTTAAGCACAGAAACAAGCAGATATAACAATATTGAATAAAATAATACATAACTGTAACACTAGTTTTATTGAAGATGAATACCACATTATACTTGAATGTCACAAATATAGTCGAATCCGAGAAAAGTATATATTAAAAAGTGTTAATGGAGAAATCTATCTGCATACAAACTAATCCAGTTTTTATCTGTATTTCTTAATATTTAGAAACAAACCGATGATTAAATTAAGCCTCCGCCGTAAATATTCACATCATTATCAGCTGAAAAATTATATAAGTATCTTTTAACTAATTTCACAAATATTTATCTGCATATCTTTTCGCCGTGTATAGTATTTTAATTTATGATTAAAACTTTGTGTTAAGACAGAGACTGCATTAACATAGAAAAAACTGGTACCTAACTTTTACTTCGACACGTTTTACTTTTCTGAAAATTGAAAAAAATACAGTTATCTCTCTTATTTTCTGAAATTTTATGCGACTGTCATACACGTGAGAGGTCTAGCTAGCAATAAAACCAGGTTTAATCCACCATTTTCAACATAAGGAAATGTCTGTTCCAAGTCAGGAATATGACAGTTGTACTGTTTTTCATTCGTTTGATTTGTTTCAGCTTTTGATTTTGCTTTTTGAAAAAGGACTTTCCGTTTTCAACTTTCCTTGGATTTCTGATTTTTTTTTTTTTTTTTTTTTTTTTGTTATTTTACTTTTTGATTGAATGAGTAGTTTCAAAATTGATGTACATGTGTATATAAAACACATACAATCGGCGAAAACCGTTCCTGAATTTATCTTAAAATCATCAAATCTTCAACTACCAATGCGTATAATTGTCATTATAATTGATATGTTGTTGATACATAAATTTTCGTTTTAATGGCGTAAATAAAGGCAACCGTAGTATACCGCTGTTCGAAACTCATAAATCGATAGAGATAAAAACAAATCCGGTTTACAACGGGTAAAATGTTAATAGGGTCACCGACTTTGTTTTTTTTTCTGTATACTGTATACGTCCGTCAAAGTGATGTTCTAAATAAAAAAATACCACAAAAATTGCAAAATAATGTGACGTCATTGTTGCAAAATGTAACACGTAGATTTGTGTACGTTTCCACTACCAACGCCGATTTAGATTGTTTATTACATCAAAACCGAGGTCTGTGACCCTATGATTATTTTCCGTCAATCAAACAAAAATTGAAGAAAAATCTTTTCATTTATTATAAAGATTTGTTCATTTTGAGACAAATTTATTAACTGTTTCGTCAATTTAGTAATGCATTATTTTTCATTATTTCGCAAGATTAATATACCGCAGTATTCAAGGCGTGGGGACTTGGTAGGCAAATGCACGCATAAATCTGTGCCAATACAGTAAGCTAAATGTTCCCTTTGCACTGTGTAAAAATCACTCCGATTCAAACAAAAAAATTCTCTGAAACTGACATTATCATGATGTTTAATTTCTTGATTGACAACAAAATTTGTTTCGTTTGGAGGACGTGTTTTTCAACTAGCAATAGGCATTTCCATGGGAACCAACTGTTCCCCTCATCTTGCTGACTTGTTCCGTTTTTCATGTGATGTTGACTTCAAACATGAACTTCTTAGGAAGAATGAAAATAAGATGGATTTATTCATAAACTTCACGTTCCTTTATATAGATGATTTCCTCTCACTGAATAATTCAGTTTTGGTGACTATATTGACCGCATCTATCCCATAGAACTTGAAATAAAGGATACAACAGTTACAGCTACATCTGCACCATATCTAGACTTTCAACTAGAAATTGACAATGAGTGTCGGTTGAGAACAAAACTGAACAGAAGAAATGATTTCAGCTTCCCAATTGTGAACTTTTCATTTCTATCTAGCAATTTTTCAGCAGCGCCTGCAAATGGAGTATATATCTCCAAGTTGATAAGATATTCAAGAGAGCTTGCATTTCCTATCATGATTTCCCGGATAGAGGCTGCTGCTCACAGAGAAGCTATTGAACCATAGGCTACAAGAGGTGACGAAATTATCTCTTCGACAATTTCATAGCCGTCATAACAAGTTGGCTGAACGTTATGAAATACATGTATCTGGTGCACATAAGACGACGGATATGTTCCAATTGTCATAAACACTACCCCGTCTTTTCCTCGAATGTGCTCTACCGAATTAGAATATTTACCTTGTTTGTACTTACACGTGAAACACGATGGATGCCACATGTGGAGCAGGATCTGCTCATCCTTGCGGAGCCCCTGAAATCACCTCCAGGTTTTGGGTGGGGTTCATGTTGTCTTAGTTTTCTATGTTGCCTTTTGTATACTGTTGTTTGTCTTTTGGCCTCTTTTTTTGTGTTTTGTTGTGTCGTTGTTTATTTTCATCTTATGAATTTGAATGTCACTTTGGTATCTTTTGCCACTGTTTTACAACCACGGGGTCGAGGACTCTACTGGTAAACATTTTGTCCCCGAGGACATCATTCGTCAATGCATAAAATGCATGAAATTAAGAAGATCTAACAGAATACTGGCTCGAACGTCACCCAGGATACAAAGGACCGAAACAGATGTCACCATGGACACGATGTCGTCTGCCAGATATCTCATTATCATCAGACAGGACAAATACCTCGTATATGACACATTGCGGTCATCATACTAATGGCAATAACAATTTTTTTCGTATGGATGATTCTGAACAACACTGTCTCATTTCTGAATGTAAAACCAAAAACTGCAAATCCTGTAAAGAAATCTAGAAATTTAACTAAATAAATTGGCCTTACCAAAACCTTCGATGATCTAAATTGTAAATAAACATATCTCGTCTACGAATTAGAATTTAATCGTTGCTGTTTGAAAAACATGTATGTCGTTGAAACGAAATTAAGGCTTAATCAACGTATGTGCGGCCATAGATCAGACATAAACAAAATAAATGCAGAAAGTAAAATAACAAAAATATCAACTCCAAGGAAAATTCAAAACGGAAAGTCCTTATCAAATAACAAATTCAAAAGCTCAAACATTTCAAACGAATGCAAACCAACTGTCATATTCCTGACTTGATACAAGCATTTCCTTATGTAGAAAATGGTGGATTAAATCTGGTTTTATAGCTAGCTAAACCTCAAACTTGTGTGACAGTCATATAGAATTCCATTATATTGACCACAATGTGTGAGCAAAACAAACAGACATAATAGGTAAAAATGTCAAAAATTGGGGTACAGCAGTCAACATTGTAATAATCTTAAACACTATAAACAAATAACTATTTCAACAAAGGAAAAAAAATGGCATATAGACACTGTATAGACAAAAGTAAAATAACAAAAATACCGAACTCCGAGGAAAATTCAAAACGGAATGTCCAAAATGGCAAAATCAAAAACTGAAAACACACCAAACGAATGGATAGCAACTGTCATATTCCTGACTTGGTACAGGCATTTTCTTATGTAGAAAATGGTGGATTAAACCTGGTTTTATTGCTAGCTAAACCTCTAGATCTCACTTGTATGACAGTCGCATAAAATTCCATTATATTGACAACAATGTGTGAACAAAACAAACAGACGTAATAGGTTAAAATGTCAAAAATAGGGGTACATCGGTCAACATTGTGTTATAATCATAGTCACTATAAAAACAAACAGATATGCCATCAAAGAAAAATCAAAAGGCATATAGACAAAGCACATTAGCAAAAACGAAAGAAAGGAATACAAACATTTACGATAGCACAATAACACACTGACGGGATGCATAAGTACCGAGCCACGTCAAATGGATATTAACAAAAATATACTAAACAGTAAAGGTTAAAAATATACACAGAAAAATAAAGAGAAAAATGAAATTCTTTACCAGCAGTTTAATCGACCTGATCATTCAATCCTTTCTATGCAAGTTCGCATCATCAAAACAATACATCACAGGACTACAAATCTTCATCTTCCAACACCTCCCCGTAGACAAAAGAAAGACTACTGGATTCGAGAATTGGGAACTGCAGAATCATATGGTTGCAATGTTACAATTGATGCTATAGATATACGTATAATATCTAATCCTCTCTGTAACTCGGTGAAAGTGCTGAACTTTTTCAACTTTTACGTGGACACAGCCATGGTCATCGTTATAATACATCACCTACTCTCCGTGATGTCTCTATAAATGAACTTCTGCCATTTTCGCAAAAGCCGTTGATTTTTCATCACATTCTCGGAAAGCTTTATTCACTGCAACCTTCAAAACTTCATTCACTGTTCAACTTATTTGCTTACCCTTCTGGAGCACCTGGGATCACCCCCGGATTATGGTGTGTTTCGTATTGCTCAATCTTTAGATTTCTATGTTGTGCTTTGTATGCTTGTCCTTGGTCTGTTTTTTTTTTTTTGCTAAGGAATCATCAGATTATTTTCGACTTACGAATTTGAATGTTCCTTTTGTATCTTTCGGCTCTCTTTTGTAGAATAATTCATGCTGGTGCTCCTAATGAAAAGAGGCTTGTACAGGACAAACACAAACATCACATATTAGACACTTGTAATTCGAAAGTCTCACATGTGATATTGGATAAAGAATATAACAAGTTTATTCTAGAGAAAATCATAAACTATCCGTGTTTTTGAAAACTTTTATTGCGTCGGATGTCTGCGTTTATATCATGAAGCTTGTAAAGAACCATTCTTGCAAATTGCGTCTGAGCATTTATCCTGGAAAAAATATATAAGAACTGTTCACAAACATTATCATTGATATTTTGCTTAAAAGAGGGTTGCTTACAAAGAAGCTACAAGACCAACTGATAAAGTCAAGTAATCCCTTCAATTATTTTACAGACGACATCAGGAGTTTGTTGACCATTATTCACTCTTCACATACACGGATTGTAGTCGATCGCAAGCATCCGTAGATAATTCGCTGGTATCCGTAACTAACTCGTCAAAATTTGCAACAACTCGCAGACACTCTTAAGTATCCAAGATTTTTTTTAACATGTCAAAAATATTTATCATGCAATTATTAACGTTTAATTTTCTTCCGCAAGTAACTCGTAACACATATAGGTATCGTAAACCGCTCCGTTCGCGACAACACGTCACCATCCGTAAAACAATTAATTGAAAAGGACTTAACTCATCAGATCGATACGAAGCACATAAAAACCCTTATAAAAGCACGAACGACACAAAGTACAAAACTGAGAGTACTTGTAGATATTGAACGCTTGTTCAAAGCCAATAATACATGATAATAACCACTAAAAATAATGTAGCTAAGACTACAAATATGAATTCTGTATCTTTGTCTGCAGAAATCGTTTGCTTGTTGTTTTGTTTGTTTTGCCTTTGGTTTTTAATCTCATTGACGTATACCCCACCTATCTTTTATATCATAAAGGTTAGTATGTTCTGTAGGTGTAGGCAAAAACAAAAAACAAACAAAAAAAATAACCCTCCACAATTGAATCTAAAAATTATGAAAACATTTCATATTGCATTGTTTTCACTACCTTAGAAACATGTGTTTTAGTTTCAAGCCTTAACAGACCTTTGTCAAAAAGTAAGTTTTCTAACTTTAAGATGGGTCCTCGAAAATGTTACTATTCCAACCGCCTATATCATGTATACAGCGTCAGTAATACCATTGCATGTAATGCGTCAAAGATTTTGGAGTTTATATCATTCGAACAGTTTGGAATTACGAGTATCTAGGAACAAATATTAAATCATGTCATAGCCTATAGACATAGTTCTAAATTCTGTAACATCGCGAGATTGAACGCCTTATCTTATTCCTGTAAAGATGAAGTCACAGTATTTATTATATCAAATTAAACATAGATTTGCTGCAAAGTAGAAAAGACATACACTCAGTGTAAGACAGGCTGGCCTTGTTTCGCTAAGGTAGAAGTATAAAAAGGTCATAAGTCTTTTTCTGTTGGTTACGAATAAATGAATGGTGTGTTTTTACACCAGAAAATGACTATACCAAGTCAGGAATACGACAGTTGTTATCCATTTAGTTGATGTTTTGAGCTTTTACTTTTGCAATTTGTTAGGGACTTTCCGTTTTGAATTTTCCTTGGAGTTCGGCTTTTTTTTATATTTTACTTTTTTGTATTCATTTCAATATAAAAAAGATTTCTTTCCAGATTTATGTTAACGTCTTAATGTTATCTTAGCATTCTTTTGTTGTCATATTGGGTAAAGGTCTTTTTTCATATTTCGCAATGACTACTAATACATAGAAAAATGTATATATAATTAAAAGAGATTGGGAAAATGTAAATACGCTGTATTAAAAACAAAAGTATCATAGGAACTTTATCTCTAGATAAAACTCACTGGACGTTAATTAACTAAGAAACTGGACATTAATTAACTAACAATCGATCAATCAATCTAGATAAAACTCTTCAATTTAATAAAAACCCTAATTCCCATCAGCAACTGAATGAAATAAACATTAGTTTGATGCAAAGAAAGAACATACCTACTAAACAATAAGAAGACACTTAAATTGAATTAAAAGTAGTAAAATTCAATAATAACCTTCAATGGGTTCTGTCCTACACTTCACTCCAACAGTACCTTCATACAATTCTGAAGTCTTCCTACTTTCCCATTCAAAACTACACTCCTGTAAATCGTTGGCATCCGGAGGACAGTTAATGTCGTCTATCCACTTATGTCCATATCCAGGGGGGATGTTATCATATTTCGGCACACCTCCATACCTATATAATGATTGGTTGCACTTGTAAAAAAGGGTTCATGTCGTCGACCATTGAAATGTTTATTGACATAATATTAAAAAAAAATTAGACGATAAAATTCTGAAATTTATATTTTCATTTGTTTTTCTCTAAATTCTAAATTACACGGATCTACTAAATCATACATCCTCCCAGTTTCACCAAAACATCAAGCGTATTCGTTTGTCTTTGAGGGAATGAATACAGGAACAGCCACTGAATAACACGAATAACGACACATTATACAATTATGGCCCGTTGAAAAGGTGAATATCCAAAATTGTCAACACGAGAAGGTTATTTCACTGAGGGCGCAGCCCGAAGTGAAATAACTTTTAAGGGTTGACAATTTTGGATATTCATCGCTTCTAAGGGGCCTCAATTGTTTTATTATACCGAACTAACAGTGGAAGGGCGTTTTGAATCATTGTAAAAGCACTTACCCTTACTTGAGTCAGTAACAAACACAAGTTGACGTTCAAAATACATGTAATTTGTGTCTTAGAATTCTCGTATGTACAACAAAGGTAGATTCTTTTTGTAAAATATTGATGGCCCTGAAAAGGACCGTTATTAGAGATATCATCGGCACAAGATGCACGTCAAATGCCTTATTTCCTCTTCTCTCGATCAATGGGCTTCCTGTAACTTGAATGTTGCCATCTTGTTTATTTACGTCTGTGACGTCATTTTAATGAGTACAAATCAACAAACTAAAAAGGTTATTCGCCGGTGAATAATAGGGTTATTCAACGCTGGTGTAAATTTTTAGGGTTATTCGTTCTTCCTTGCTATTGAATGAAAATTAACTGAATTATTCCATGTCACGTGATAACGTTTTACCCAATAGAATTGTTTGAAATATATGTAAGGTATAATAATATAGATGGTCTTCAACAAAGAGGAGATAGGGGTCATAACAATATGTCCAGGTCTAAATGTAATCCAAATAGAATAAAATTTTATTTAGTCGAATGTTTTGTTTGAAATTCTTGCAGCAGTACTTCATGTTTATTTTGTCATTCGGTAAACAATGTCAGTGACCTATATTTGCTTTAATCTACGTTTCCATGATTTAAAGTATATATTTCCCAGGTAATACAATATATCAGAGCCTGCATTTCATCCATGATTCTCTTGAAATAGGATTGCTGCTTTCAAGGAAGCTATGTAACTAAGAGTACTAACTGATGAATTTGAAATCATCCCTTCGACAGTTTTCACAAGTGTTTGACCTTAATAGAACATCTGTTTAACCTGCATGAGCAACACGCCGGGTATTACATGTGGAGCCAAAACGGCTTATCTTCCAGAGACATGCGTACTAATTTTGCCATGGCGAATTATGAGTTTTGAATGTCCCTTTGGTATCACCCGTCTCTTTCTTAAAATGTTTTTATTTCGATTTTTTTACTAGTATATTCCATTTGCGAACGTCTTATCCAAAATCGATTGTGACAACTCTACACAACTCTACACAGTAATGTTATCCCCAATTAAGACCAAAACACAATAATATACCACAAAGGATAACCACTTACTACGAGGGTTTTAACTTGCTTAAGGTATATTATCAAACTCGTTCAATCCTCGATAGATACACTAAACATCCTTCATAATATTTTGCCCTCGTCATACGGCTCGACGTACAGTAATTTCGCACCAGTCTAGCAATAAAATTATTCTGATACTTACTTATATCCCATCATTTTACAAAACACGTCTGCTTCCGAATTACCAAACGAAGATGCTGCCAAACGTCCCCAAACGTTGTAGTGGAAAAGTTCAACTCGTCCTTCGTTTTCTTCATTCGACCCTGCTAGTCTTACATGCACTTTGGGATTAAAACCTTAAAAGGAATTTTATAAAAACAAGTAATTCTGACTTTTGTGTTGTTTGACAATTTATTTTTTACATAGATATTGATACTTTTACTGAAAAATAGACTCTATAAGTGCAGTTATTTGAAATTTTGAAACAAGACAAAAAGTCCATTTTTGTTATCAATTATAGTGTTTTTTTCATAAACCAAATATTTATTTTATTAAAGCACATACTTTTTCTTCATTAGCAGTTGCTTTAAATACCACAAATTAATGAAAATGAAAGAAAAAAATCGTCAACTTAAGTGATTTGAACATTATTTCTACACATGAAGTAATTATAATGCTCACTTTGCTCTTACGTCATAATTTATAGCCTCATCATATTATTTTCTATTTTTCGTGAAGCTTTTTTTTTTTTTTGGGGGGGGGGGGGGGGGGGTGATTTAAATTATTAAAATAAAGGTGTCAGATGAGCATTTCAGCAGGTCAAGATTTTATTACACTTTATGGCAATCAGGTAGATATATGTTTTCATATTAGGCATGCGTGTTGCCTTTACACTTACTAATTTCCGTATCGGTCCAACATCTTATAGCCAATGCCATAGACATTTCAAGATCACAGCCACAATAGTAGAATTCACACCGTTCTCCCCAGTCTGTATGCCTTCATTCATTAAAATGCATTGCGTTCTCGGGGCATGAAAGGTTTTGCAAATATTCTCTGGTCATGTCCAATGAATTATTCGAGAGGTAAATATATTGTTTCTTATAACTCGAACCACCAAACCTCGAGGAAGATAAAAATGCGATTAACAATTGTTTAAAGTTTTTTCTATAGAATCTTTTTTTAAGTACGTACGTTCTGTTTGTGCTTTTGTAAATTCTTATGATGAAAAATTCACAGATATTAAAACATGTTTCATAATTATGATTTAATGAAACCATGAAACAGATCACCTTCAACTTGCCGTGACTAAATATATCGTAAAAATCAAGATAAAATTGAGAATGGAAATGGGGAATGTGTCAAAGAGACAACAACCCGACCATAGAACAGACAACAGCAGAAGGTCACCAACAGGTCTATTTCGTGGTGCATTTCTGTAAGACAAAAAACGCAAATTAAAAAAATCACATTTGATCTTTCCTAAAACGATTTTTACTACTTTCGGGACAAATTATATGAAAATTATAGAAAAGTCTATCGGCTCTAACTAAAAACTAGACAATTTTATGTTAAGGGGGTCTGTAATTCAGTCTGACAGCTTCAGACAAATTGATTGTCGACATTTTCAAACTGGACCAAATCACTACTTTATACCTGAACATTCATGCCCCAAATTTTTTTTACATGTTAGTTCATCCCCCTTCTTACTTTTGTCTGTATAAAATATAAAGAAATGAATTTTGGCAGGTATATGAAAAAAAATTGCAAGTTATACACTGTCCACATAGGTACTCTATTTGTAGACACCGAAAATCAAAGGACGATAGCTGTGTCCTCGGACCAATAGTCTTATATTCCCCTTTTCAGTCTATAATTGGCTTTCGTGTGAAATTTACATTTTAAACATAACTTTATTACAAGTTCAGATCCAAGAAAGTTTCTCAATTCTCCTGGATTGGTTATTTATCACAACATTACTATATTATTTTTTTCATACTACAATCAAATATATAAACAATATAATGTTAATAGGTTTACTGTACTCCTCCATCTGTTTCGTGCCGAATACAAAACAAAACCAAGTTAATACTTTTAAAATCTCGATCTTATATTGTTTTATATTGCAGCTAAACTTGTACTACAAATATAGTTAAATGTCAACACAAATTAAGAAATATTTTCCATCCCGAAACGAGTCCCTTATTGTGATAACAAGTGACGTGACGTGAAATCAAAATTGCACAATATTTCACTTTGTTACTATATTTTTGGTAAAAAAAAACCCAAGATGTGTGCATGCTGCAAAGTAATCATGTTTACTTACCTAAACCCAAGAGTGTGACAAAGAGCATTGACTTCTGACTGCCCGTTGATTCCGTTGAAGCACACAAATCCCCAGTGGCCATTTTGGTAAACTTCAACAACACCTTCGCGCAAATTCTTGAGATCCAAGCGTTGTGTTTTTATTGTCAAACGAATTGGTACATCTGGAACTAAAGCCATTACTTCCAGTGTTAAGCATTTTCCATTAAATTTTACTACAACGTAACTTAATATAGTTTAACATTGTTTACTCGCACAGTAAAATAATACCTTAAAAAGAATAAACCCTTGTACTTTTTTTCAAATCAATTTTCACTATTTAGATGGGTCACAAGAAACGTCCCCTTGATTTGCCCCCTTCGGTATATGTAAAGGAATTTTAGAGATTAGGATATCCCATCACTGGACCGGATTTTAACGGGTTTTTTTATTATGCCTAAACGATGTTTCGTCAAAATGGGACGAATGGTGCTAACTTAAATTGAGATAACTATGAATGAAGTTATAAAATCATACTACCACACTTGAAATTAAACATATCTGGTGTTTCGTTATAAGAGGTATAACTATTATTCTTTTTCGCTTGCGAAATGGTAGACAATTCAAATTTGGAGAGTAAAATCTTTTGTTTATCCAACTCAATTTACCTTCTTTCATAATGAAAATAAGCAAATGAAGGTTCATTGAAATTCAAGTCTTACCAACTTTAATGTTCAATTGGTCAGCTTGTTTATAGTGCAAATAGACAGCTGGTTAAGAGCAAAAATAAAAGGCGATGGATGAATTATAAAAACAAACCTGAAAATTAAAGAAAACTGATTTATTTCTCGTCCTGTGTCCAGCATCCAACTGCCTGTTTGTCAAGATTTGACATGACGCACTTGTGATGTAGTGTCATATAAAATGTACAAAATATTAAGTAATCAAAACAAGGGACCAAAGACGTGACTATATTTTACAATCATGTTTCATTTATTTTTTAGATTCAAATATATATAAAATACTGTTTGATGTGAATTTTTATTAGATACTGCCTTATTACATACTTTCCAAAGGCTGTAATCTACACGTTACTGAAGTGTTTTTGTTGCAGTTCAGTGTTTCTGTTGTTCCGTTGTTTTTATCTTATAGTTGATGTGTTTCCCTAGGTTTTGGTTTGTGACCCGAATTTGTTTTCGTTTTATCGATTTATGAATATTGAACAGCGGTACTCTACTGTTGCCTTTATTTAACTGTGGGATATATACTCCAAATTAAGGCGATGCTGGAATGTTGCTCGTAGAAATGGAAAATTTACAGTTGGGATGATGAAATCATCTCTTTTGTCGTAAAGTATTGTTTTCAGCCGACCCTCATTGTCAAATTGTAGATGTAAGTCAAGATATGAGGCAGACTTAAATGTATCTGTTGTATCCTTTATGACATCGATGGGATAGATGCGTTAAAAATAGACACCAAACTTTGATTTTTATAGTGAGGAGACATAATCTATATAGTGGAAAGTGAATTCGGAGGAAAGTACTAGTGCTAGCTTCTTTTCTTTCTTTCAAAGAAGCTCCTTCATGAATTCAGCCTAACATGAATACAGGAATAAGTCGACAAGAAAGAAGAGGAGCACAGTTGGTTTCCATGGGAAATGCTGATTGTTTGTTGAAAAACACGTCCTTCAAACGCAACAAATCTGTTGTCAATCAAGATTCAAGCATCTTGATAATATCAGTTTCAGATAATCTTTTGTTTGAATCAGAGTGATGTTTTACAAAGTACGATTTATTCTTCCTATGAAAAATATCTTTGTTGACCATTCGTTTTTATGAAACAAAAGAGGACCAACTCTTTCAATTTGTCTTTTAGTTTGGAATGGGGAACACTTGTGGAAAGTGTAGAAAAGTCAAAGTGTTATTACTATTGCAAGATGAAAGAGTTTTAGATTGTATGTACTCTAGACGATCTTTGGAATGTTTTAGTATATATCCACATCTGATTTCACGTCACCTCTGGAATAAGTAGTTTCACAATACCTTTGAAGACCGCCATTTATTGATGATACAATTGAAGTTAGTAATTTAAAATGGAATAATCCATGTTGCCTTCCAAAGAGTGAAACGCAAGACCGTATATGATAAATGAAAAAATAAAATTTCGAACTTTTTCGTTCTTAATCTGTCAAGTTTAGTTAGACAGGCATTATAATTACAAATAAAATACTAATGTTTTATTGATGAGCAATAATACCCGTCACGTATGCCTTTTCTTTGGTCAGGGTCTGTTAAACGTCAGTCATGTAGCGCTTTAATAGAAATAATTTGGTGTTACAGAGAAGAGAAAAAAGAACAATTAATAGAGGCAAACAAATCCATCATCAAAAACTTACGAGCACCTTAAATCTTCAGAAACAAAAAATCTCAATATTTTGCCTTAAAACTCTTTAGATCTATAGTAAAATGTATTATATGCCAGCTAATTGGAAACGAAATAATTGGTTTTATTATTACAATTTACTCCAATGGCTTCGGCAGATATAAATAAACACAGAAACATGAAAACCAAGGATGAAACGAATTTGTTTAAGGCTCGAGTTTTTAAATACGATTCGAATTTATCAAGAAGGTTTAGTATGTGAGTCCTTGATTTATTTAAAAATTATTGTAGGACAAGCCGGCGGTAATTACGCGTAGTGGCAGCTAAAATTGGATCATTTGAAGTATCAAAATTGTGAACTATGAGAAACTTACAAACATTTTATACGCCTGTGATTCATGAAATCATTTAAGCAAGTCACTTATTCAGTTTTTTCGGCTTGTACGTCTATATTAATTTGTAATTTTCAATAACAATAGGAGTAAATATCTAACTTGATCTACAACACCTCGATCAAAATAGTCTACTAGAATCATACAATCCATCGGGCCTTGAATTTACATTGATTTTACCCCGGTTTGCCGTTTCATACCAATGTTTTACCCCTTATTATTGATCGTGGTACATTATTTTGCATTAAGGGCAAACCCGTGTTGAAACCAATATAAATTCCATCCAATATTAATTATTTCTTTACAAATATGTACATGTAAGTCATAAGCAACTCTGAATATTTCAAGATGATTGCTTTACAATATATAATTTATCTTCTTCCAAGAATTATTTTAAATGGTATACATACGGATATCCAAGTGATCGACACACCAAGGACGCCTCTACTGTACTGAAGCCCCGGAGGTCAAACCGATTCCATTTGTTCCGTTGGAGAACTTCAACAAGTCCTTCCCCTTCCTGTGTATATGATTCCAGTCTAGTAGTGGTTAATACTGATTCTAGAATTCATATAACTATCATTGTTGTATGTTTAATAATCTGTTGCACATTATCACATCGAGAAAGTAAATAGGCCATTTTCTGATGATTGAAAAAAAATTTGTTTATATCAGGGTAAAAATTTTCCCACGGCCAAAGTTTTCTGTTTAAAGACAAATCAAATCAAAAATTGCCATAAAAAGAGTTGTTGGGGTATCTAAAAGCTGACTGTCATTTTCCTGACTCTATTGGCTCCATGAGTGTTGATCGCAATATATAGCCTGTACTGGCTCTATTGGTGCTGTGAATGTTGATCCCAATGTATAGCCTGCGATATATTGTTGTGTTTATTTTTTAAATTAAACTGTTTGTTGTGTTTATGTTTAGAAAAATACAATTTGGAACCCCATTAATACTAGCCACTCAGATTAATGTTCGCAGCTACTGAAAGCAATTAAAAACGTTCAATCTGTAGATGTTTAAATAGGTCTTCCTACAGTATGATTGAATAATAAACGTATATCAATAGCCATTGTAAATGGGACCAGTATATGTAAAAAAGAAATGGCTATGGGACGGTTCATCATTTTTGAATTCGATTTTCGATTATTTAAATTTCCTGAACATAGCAGTAAATGTGTTAATTTTTTCTTCCCTAACATTGCACTAACACCAAATTCGCTGTGTTAAGGATGTACACCTCTGAGGAGCCAAACATTTCTAGAATTAAACTTTTTTTCTTAACCTAATTTTGGGTTTATAAGACTGTAAGAAAGTAATTGATGAAAAAAAATCATATGGTGGTGCACTTCTTTTTTTGCAACGGCCATTTGAAAGTAACCATTTTTAATGATTTTCCCAATTTTCATCAATTTTTACCCATTTTTGGGCTATTATCATGAACAAAGTCACAGCTTCATACTTTCCCTACAGATGAAGTGGACCCATCTGAATAAATTTAACTTAAAAACTATAGGTTGGTGTTAATATTAGAAAGTTTTATAAAATTGTGTTGCTGTTTCGTGTCAAGTTGTCCATGCTGTCTTTTTTTTCCTCTTTTTTTTTAGAACAAAAAGCATATTATTTCAACTTTTTTATTTTGAATGATTTAAAAAATACATATCTAAGAATTTTGAAAAGAAACAATTGATATCGGATGTACATATTTTTGGTAAAATCATTTCTTTGTACTCCTCGCCTATTTTCTCAATATTTTGGCTGATGACACTGACCGGATTGGTTATGAAATTTGTTTTTTTTTACTCAAAAACTACTAATAGTAAGTACACAATTTTTTCACAGAGTTAAGTTGGATTATAATATCTTTTAAATTCATTGATATTTTTCACTGTATCACTAGTTTTGGAAATAATTCCCAAACGAGATTTCAACGAGACTGAAACATCAGAAGAATACATCCTTAATAAAATTTAACTACGATGTCTTACTACTTTACACATGCATGTTAGACATAGATGAGCACTACTGATCTTACTACATTACACATGCATGTTATAAACAGATGAACGCTACTGATCTTACTACATTCAGATGCATGTTATACACAGATGAGCGCTACTAATCTTACTACATAACACATGCATGTTATACACAGATGAACGCTACTAATCTTACTACATTACACAAGCATGTTATACACAGATGAGCACTACTAATCTTACTACATTACACATGCATGTTGTACAAAGATGAGCGCTTCTGATCTTACTACATTACACATGTATGTCATACACAGATGAACGCTACTAATCTTACTACAATACACATGCATTTTATACACAGATGAGTACTACTAATCTTACTACATTATTTTACACATGCATGTTATACACAGATGAGCGCTACTAATCTTACTACATAACACATGCATGTTATACACAGATGAACGCTACTAATCTTACTACATTACACAAACATGTTATACACAGATGAGCACTACTAATCTTACTATATTACACATGCATGTTATACACAGATGAACGCTACTGATCTTACGACATTACACATGTATGTTATACACAGATGAATGCTACTAATCTTACTACTTTACACCTGCATGTCATACACAAATGAGCGATACTGATCTTACTACATTACACATGCATGTTATACACAGATGAACGCTACTGATCTTATTACATTACACATGCATGTTATACACAGATGAACGCTACTAATCTTACTTCGTTACACATGCATATCATACACAGATGAGCGCTACTGATCTTACTACATAACACATGCATGTTATACACAGATGAGCGCTACTTTTCTTACTACATAACACATGCATGTTTTAAACAGATTAGCGCTACTGATCTTATTACATTACACATGCATGTTATACACAGATGATCGCTACTGATGGTTCTTATGTAGATGAAAGTTTACTTGGCATACTAATCTATAGGCATGTTATCTTTGATGTGTTTTTATAATTATCTATTTGATTATGACTTTTGTTGCCTTTAATGTTTAAGCCTGTAGACAGTAATTCGTACTAGAATCATTATATTTTTATTTTCACATACAGTAAATGTTGATTATTTGACTTTTCTGTAAATTCTCAATGAACTAGCGTTAACGTATAAATGAATTTTCATTGCAAAAGGCATTTAACATAGAATTGATGCGTTAAAGGACTTTAATGAGTCTATTTTGATAAAAGTACGTAACTATTAAAGGAAAATTCATTTTTCGTTGACATCTTTTTCCAAACACATTTCGTTAAACGTTTAACTTTTACTGTGGTGT